AGAGAGCAGTGACAATACTGCAACCTTTTTCTGACATCTCCTTGAAGAACAGTGTTGAAGGAAAATCCTTCCAAGTGGAAGAATTTCAAGGAATGTTCCTGATTGTTCACTTTACTTAGAAAGAGAAATGGTCAGATAAATATATAATAATATACAGATTCATAGGCTGGGGTCAATGGTTTGGGTAGATTGTCCAGGGCTAGAAAGGAACATGGTAGTGACAAGGAGATATGAGGAGGAGATATGTGGGTAGATGTCTCTAAATAGGACAAAGAAGTGGAGATACTGTGTTCCAGGTGAATGCTCATCAAAGGTTTACTTCAGCAGAAGAGGATTCTAACAAGGAAGTGGAACCAACCAGCCTTTGTTCCCAGCCATTCCTGTCATCACTGAGAAGGATCGTAAATAAAGATGTCATGGCAGGAGGGGTGGCAAAACAATATGAACTTCCACTCATAATGTCAAGTTGGTGACAGCCATAGCTAAGTGCCCAATCTGCCAGCAGTAGAAACCAACACTTAGTGCCTGATATGAAACCATTCCTTTGTGGCAGATTGATTATACTGAACCGTTTCCATCATGGGAAGGGGAGTGTTTTGTTCTTAATGGAATGTACACCTATGAATATAAATTTATGTTCCCTACATGTAATGCTTCTGCCAAAACACCATTCACGGGCTTACAGAATGTCTTATCCACCCACATATCCCATGTGGTATCACCTTGGATCAAGGGACTCCTCTCAAAACAAATTACAATGGGGCAATTCTCATACAATTCACTGGTCTTATATATTCCCCACTATCCTGAAATAATTGGCTTAATAGAACAATGGAAAGGTTAAAGACTCAATTATGGTGCCAGCGAGGTGACAGTACTTTTCAAGGTTGAGGCAGTGTTCTCCAAGAGATTATATATATGGCAGTGTTTCCCCAATAGCCAATATTCATAGGTCCAGGAACAAGGGGTGGAAACAGGAGAGCCAGCGTTCACTATTGCTCCTGGTTGTACACTCGCACATTTTTGCTTCGTGTCCCTGCAACTCTGGAAATCTCAATTATAAAGTGAAGGGATACTGATCCCATTGAAGTAGTAGTTAAGAATGCTACCCAGCCACTTTGGGCTAGATATGCCTCTGGATCAATAGATGAAGAAGGGAGTCACTATATTGTTTGGGGTTATTGACTCTGATTACCAAGGCAATATTAGATTAATAATACATAATAAGGGTAAAGAAAAGTATGTTTGGAATATAAGAGATTCCTTGGACCATCTCTTAATTCTACCATGCCCTGAGAGTCAAGTCAATAGAAAACCACATCAACCAATTTCCAATATGACTACCAATTGTCCAGACCCTTCAGGAATGAACACTTGGGTCACCATCAGGCAAAGAACCATTAGAAACTGAAATGCTTGCTGAGAAAAAGGGACTTTTGAATGAATGGTGGAACAAGATAGTTCTAAATACCAGCTATGATCAAGTGACCCATCCCAGAAACAAGAATGTAATTCTTATTTGTGGTTTTTTTAATGTATGCATTAAATACTTTTGTTCTCTTCACTTATGAAGTATAAGATATAAACAGGGATGGCACATTTCCAATTATACACATTAGTTGTATCATGTTAGGAACAAGTATGTTCTTAAAATTGTCTTTATTTACAGATTATGAATGGCTTAAGGCAATGTGTACTAGTATCAAGTTGACTAGGGGTGAAGAGTGATGGTAAAGGTTGAGTGTTAACTTAGCTGTCCATGATTCTCTGGTTTGTAAGTTATGAGATAGCCATTTCTTTGATGAGATCTGGAGATCACCATGATGAGACTTGCTATGAGCAGCCAATCAGCTGAAAAGAAGTGTCCTCAGTGGTGTATTCTGCATCAAATCTATGCAAAGTTTGCTGCTGTTTGTTGATCTGGATCTTGCATCTGGGTCCTCACCATTTGCTCTCCAGGTCTTTGAACTTGAGCCAGGAGGCTGACAGATTGCTTGCTGATCTTGGATTCATCAGCTTCCAAAACTAACAGCCTGCTGCCTTACCTGCTGATCTTGGCTTCATCAACTTCCACAGAGAGCACCCTGTTATCTGAGCCACTGATCTTGGGTTTATCAGGAGAAGCCTCTAGCCTGGTGTCCAACCCATGAACTTGGGATTCACCAGCATCTATAAATATGTGAGCCATTTGCTTAGAATAAATCTTTCATATCTCTCTCTCTCTCTCTCTCTCTCTCTCTCTCTCTCTCTCTCTCTCTGTATAAATCTCCATCTACCTATCTATATCTATCTATCATCTACTTATTGGATTGGAAGGAGGAGTGGCATCCAATTCCTAAACATGTCACTGGAAACTCTATGAACTTTGATAAATTATGATAGTTATAGAAAGGATTCAGGTCTTTTGTTCATAGTGTCGCTATGAGTCATGCTTGACTTGACAACAATCAACCACAACATACTTACAGGAAGATACTATGGACCACCAAGAAAACAAATAGCTCTGTCTTAGAGAAGGTGAAACCAAGTTTCTCCTTGAAAGCTAGGATTTTGAAGCTCTGTCTCACATACTTTGGGCATGTGGACAGGAGGGACCAGTTCTTAAAGGACATCATACTCAGAAAGGTGGAGGGACAGCGTAGGAGAAGAAGATCCCATATGAGATGGACTGATACAATAACTGAGGCAATGGGGGTGTGTCAAAATCAGTGAAGCTGGCTCAGGACAGCAGGCTTCGGAGCCTGTATATAGGGTTGCTATAAGTCATGGGTGACTCAATGGCACATAACAACACACTTACTAGTTTTACTTTTCTAGAGAACTCAGTCTAAGACAGTATACTCTCTCTATATATATATCTCCTCAATATTTTATACATGTATCTTTATTATATATTGTCAAAAATAGTTGAGATATATATATATTTATATATATATATATATATATATATATATATAAATACTAGAAAGCAATAGGGCTGTGAATGCTACACCTTTCTGTTAATCAGAATCTAAACATTCTTTAGAAATCTTTGCAATTACTTCCCCTTAC